CGTGATTTAAAGGTTCGTCCATCGCATGCCTGACTTTTTACGCACGATTACGTGTGTGTATGTGTGTGCACACACTCGGCCCGAATTCCCTAAGCATCCCACCCCACCCCACCCCGTTTTCTCAGTGTTGTTATTGTTGTACCGTCCGCTCTGAACTAGTCCGCTTGCATGTCACACTGTCCACGATTGCAGTACACCGTGTTCAGTTTAGCCCCCATCCCCCTGCGGGATGTAATACTTGTCCAATCTCGCGGTTCTTATTTCTTTCGATAACTCGGTTTTTTTGTTTTGCTCTGGCTATTCTATTCCTGTTGAAGTGAATTTTCAACTGCAGAAATTAGATGGATTCATGAACAGTGCAGCTTCCAATAGAGCACTGGTCATTTGTATATCACGGCTTGTTACCAAGCCGGTGTAATAGGTGGTAAAAATCATTCAGTTTATCTTTATCGGGGCAAACCGTTCGAATGTGTAACTCATTCAGCAACGCTGATGGATTTTTTTTCGACGAATTTCAATTCTGAGTGTGTCCCTCGAGATCGATTATCCTCTATGCAATCGGTTTATTTTACGTTTGCCGGTTTGTCACATTCATATCTTCGCTCGTCTGTTCGCCTGTCTGTGAGGAATTACACACCTTGTAGCTACTGAGTCGGCTCTGTGTGGTTTCTCATTCAACTCACAATTGCTTGTGAATTATGGTATGGTATATTGACCGATCAGGACTGACAACCGTTCAGTCTTCACCTTCACGCACATTCCTCAACTATTCCACTCAACCATACACACGGAAACATTAGACTCGAGCTTCACTCTTATGCGAGCTCATCAGTAGTTCATATCCATGTCCCGTTCGGGCTGTGAACTCCGGACCTATCGCATGGAAAGTGTTCATGTATTACCACTGTGCTAATCACGTCGTACTGGGGCTGAACCAAATTGTCAATTCATATTTTTTCAGGTGTCGCCTTCAGAGATGGTCATCTTGGATATGCCCTGTTGATGAGCTCTAATAAGAGCGAAACACGAGCCTGATTCTTCCGTGTATGGTTGCCTGAAAGAGCTGAGGAACATGCGTGGTGAAGTCTGAAGGATGGTCAGTTCTAATCAATCTGTATGGTTTAACGAGGCGATCCGGGCGGGCTCCATATAGACTGACGTCCGAATAGCGCTTTCCAGACCAAATTATACTAGTCTGTTGAGGAAACCTGATAGACACTGTCGGAATTTAGACTTACTATCAAGGTAGTTGTCTTCCATCGAACGAGGTTAATAGTGGTCGTAAAAGTAGCCATCTTGGTCAATACAGTTCTTCATGAAGGTTATGTTGAGCTTCCAGGTTTGCACCCCCGGGACCGACCTAGTGAATTACTCGTGGTAGTAAGTAGTTTGATTGTGTGTTATGACCAACGAGTCTCAAGCATCTGCTCAGCTTTGGTTATGAACCTTTTTGTATAACCTGACCCTAGTCATTTGCCAGGTGCTTCATCGGTAGATAAAATGGGTTGTCAGGAGACGTCAGTCGGCACCCGGGGCATGAAGTTATAGAGACACGAGCTGTATTGAGATGTTACTTTGCAACCGGGAGTTGCAATTCAACTAAAGTCGTGAACCTCAGTTTTGTATTCGATCGGAACACTGATTTAATCCGGCTGAAACTTTTCCGTCGATTATCCTGGAAGCCTTCACGACCATAAGCCTTATTCTTGTAATATGATTAAATTTTACTAGAAAGCGGTGTGCGATGCCTGTACGTGCCTGTTTCGTCTTTTGAAACGCTGAATATTTTGATCTTATGCTAGCTTGACTTTGTATGTTCATTTTTCGTACACGGTCTTGTCTTCCCGGAAACGGTCATCATTCAGCGCTCAATCGTGTCTACATGCACTCTGTGTTATGCACGTTCTACAGTGACCTGTCACCGTGTTGTATCATTTAGTCCATCACACCGATCCGCTCCGCGTTTGTATGTTCTGGCTATTCAGTCTGTTCTTGTCTTGTTGTTCCGGTTTCGTTTGCACAGACTTACCTTGGCGGTACCTTCCATCGAATCATTTATGCATCCCAAAGATTTCTCTCTCTGTCTCTCCGTCACATTGGTCCACACAATTCGAACCACGTAATGGTTTCATTATATTCACTACTTCGATTGTCCGGTCCGTTTCTCGTCTTTTTCTGCCAACAGTTGTTGCTGGAAAAATAACAATCGTTACTCAATCAGAAATGCCACCGCTCGCTTTTTCAGCACCTGCGTAATGCGCGCAATTTTATCACCATGCTATCGCGATGCGTAAAGAACAGAAAGGTGCTAGGTTGTCTGAGTGATTCGGACTCTGTTTTTTTTTTGTCTCATCCTCGCTCTGATCCAGTCGTTTCCTCGTGCATTGTGACTGACTAGTAAAACTACATCTTCGTTAGAAGCCCTTTCCTGTTCGGTTGTTGACCTATGCAATCGTCATTACGAGGTAGAATACAAATTCGGATTCATAATTTTCATACTCGCAATATCGATGAGAAATAATACGATGAACATTCGCAAAATTAACGTTTCTACCAAGCGGAGTAGAATACTAATGCAATGCTACTATCTGAAAATCTTGTGGATATAAATAGGGTGGTGACACAGTGGTTTAGTCTCTGTCACCGGTGTGATTTGGACCCTATGGTCCGCGGTTCGAGTCCCGCCACCGCCACCCAACTTTGATGGTATGCAGCTTTACTGTCGTCCGGTTCAATACCACACATAAACTAGCGGAGCCTAATGTCTTAGGCTACCGGTATCCGGCAATAAACAGCAGGTCTTCGTGATCATGGGGTTTACCCTGTCCACTGTCCATCACAGAAGTGTGTGTAATAAAAAAAGTTGGAGGAAGTGTTTGTAGATGACAAGTTTGATGACCTTCGGTTTGGGATGAGAACTGGTGTTACTAGAGCGGAATAATTCACAGGAAAGCAATAAATACTCTTGACAGTCGATAAGAGCCAATGTCCTATGCATCCCATGCATATACTGGGTTGCTTGAGCACACCTTGGATCGCTTTCTTTTGTCCGTATTGCAGTGATCGCATTATCCGATTTACTTCCAAGGTCAGCAACTCTGCTGCGTCTAAATCAACATTTGGTTGCCTATAGATTCGAGCACGAAGCAACTCTGCCTGAGCTACCGTAACAACCCATGGTTGTGTATACGGTTGTTGTCCGCATTCAACACTGAATAACCATTTTTCTCCCTACTCAGATTCGACAAGTAACTTTTGTGGGAGTCTGTCGCACTTTTCGAATTCTCCGGATCGATAACTGTTTAACAATATTTTCGCTTCGCTTAAACTATTTTGCTTCGGAACTTCAACCTACTAGTGGTGATAAGAAGAAAGCATTACTGATTTTGATTTCACCATGCACGCACTATAATCGTGGGATTTACTTGTACGCCTCTGTTCGGTCCACTAGATTAGCCGCCGATGTCCGTGGCTAAGTAACCATCACAATGAGACTGCACATTGACGTGGTGTGATGGCCACACGGGATGGCTTTTATCAATCCGAAGATGTAATCATACCTGGAAGGTCGGACGAACTCCAGTCTCCTGGTCTTCCAGGTTGAGGGATTCCTCTAGAATTTGCGTTTCAGTCGGTATAAAATGGTGGGGGAGTAATTGATCCAAGTAAATGGGCCTCCACTTCGCTTTCGCTGTTTTGCGGCTAGGTTCTTGTCAGAACTAAAGGCTTTGGTTGAGAACCCTAAGCGTTCTGGTGTTTAGTGGAACCCGTCCATCAAACACCAATACATATGCATTGCGAGTTTGGCAACGATCTATGAAGTTCGCTTCCCTGTATTTCGCTGTACGATGATGATGATGATGATGATAAACCCCCTCGTCCGTGTTCGATCGTTGTGGTTATTGGTCGGGTATTTCTCCCTATCCTAATCTTATTTCCATTATCATGTTTTGAAATCGTCAACCGTTTTCAAGTTCTTCCGATAGATTGATAGACGGCAAACAAAACCGCTCTATCCTTCTCGGTGTGTACTGAGACTCGAATATTTTTGAATTTGAACTTTTTTCTATGATCCGAACGAGAGAGTTTCAGGTTAACGCCAACTGAGTGCACAATTTTTGGGCTGATAGGTCCCCGTTCGATTTGTGTTGAATTCCGGTACAGTGTATGCTTCCCGCCAAGATTGCGCATGTTCGAATACGACCACTCTTCACTTGACTTGTCATCCAGTATGAGGCGAATACTGATTCGCACCGTGTATATGCGTGTTGTACCAACTTCGTTTTATACCCGATCGATTCATGTGTAGTTGTTATAGTTTTTCAAATTCACTATAACTGCTATGACCGGTAGTTGGATGAATGGGTTTTCGCCATTTTCCCCCATCCTTTTTTTGTTTTGTATTGGTTTACAAACCAGCTTTATTGTTTCATTTATTCTCTGGTGGCCCCACCGCAACTAATATTTATACGGTTTTCCCATCTAACTGCGACTCTACACTTTTTGCCATTCACTCGGTTCGCACGTGGTTTTTGTACTTTCATTTTCCTGAAACACACCTGCCACAGCGAGAACTCATCAGGTTTGCGGTGCGCGATGCGACGGAGATTTGCTTTTCATCTACCTGCTCCCACCCGCCCCGTCAGAAACACAATAGTTTACTTTCCCACCCCCTCCGATCCCGTTTTCTTGTTTTTTTTTCCCCCGTATTCATCCACGATATTCCTCCATCTGTCTAGCCGGAAAATCTCCTACTCGCTAGCAAGTCCAAAGGAGCGGCGGTGAAGCTAGCTGATTTCGGTTTGGCGATCGAGGTTCAGAACGAACAACCGGCATGGTTTGGGAAGTGCATGTATTCCTTATTACACGAGTGTCTGCTGACAGCTCTGTTGTAAAAGTTGACCTCTTGCTGCATAATTCAGATCTCGCCAACTGAACAACCTCGAAGGTTTGCATCCGATTGTTCCCGCCACGATCACACACTTCCATCCCCATTTCCTTTGTTTTGCTCTGGTTCAGGTTTTGCCGGGACACCGGGTTATCTATCTCCCGAGGTGCTACGAAAAGAGCCTTATGGCAAGGCAGTAGACATTTGGGCATGCGGTGAGTTGAACGTTCATCATCTCGACCATATTATCTATTTTGTTTTGCCATTCTTCTAAATTCACCCAATCCAAGGAGGTCAAACATTCGGGTTGGGTTACAGCATCAACCCGTTCTCTTTTTTTTTTCTCGCCAAATGGAGGAGGGAGGGAGTGTTTCATGTCCCCATAAAGCATTTCAATCATAGTAGTTCATCTTGCCTGATATTTTGCAATAGATAGATCTGTCGCTTTCTTTGTGATTGCACAACGAGTCGTACGCGTGCAACTTATTCCATTTTACTGTTGTGGGATTCACAACAGAAGTGTAACCCAAGTCCCGGGACTTTTGGTGACGAGACACACTACCCCATTAGTACGAGTGGTATTGAACCGGACGATAGCCAAGCTGCTCACCACTAAAGTTGACTAGTGGTGACAGAGTTCGAACCTCGGGGTTTAAAGAGCGTCACTGACAGTGACTGAAGCCGCTTAATTGTCGCCATCATTGTGGGAGATTGCTCACATGGGCTGCAGTCGATACGTGCGTACAAAGTTCCGCTCAAGTTAACTAACTTGTGAATCCCAAGTGATCATCACTACTGCCTTTGGCAGATTCTAGGCTCGTATCGTGATGAGTGATTGTTCTTATTAACTGTGAGCTCTACGTTGAACAGATTTTAGTAGTGGAATCGCAATTTTTTTCTTGCGTCGCGCCCAGTGAACTTGGCATTCGTGGTTTATTGATTGTAAAGAGGATGAGCCGGGTTGAAACACCGACTGAACGTTGGCTCACTGCCACCATATAAACTTGGTTATGAGATGTGGCCATTACAATCGTGTAGTATCACCAAAGAGGACAGTGTCCTTACTGCTTGATATTAGGACAGTCGATATTTACTGAACCTCACTGTAGTGTTCGCATAATCTGAATCTGAGGAGGATTCACGTTTTTCCCCGGGATCGTAGACTACAATTCTCATCTTGAACCGTTTGAGTTTCTTACTAGCAGTTTTCTGAAATTGTCCTATTGCGATATTTGATCCACAGTATCTGTCGAGCGTATTTCCGTTTCAAAGAATCGTACAGACTATCGGTTTTCCGGTGATAAGCATTAGTCTTTCACCTGTACAGCATTTTTTACCATGGTGTCCAGTTCAGTTTGAGTTTGTGCAACCACTAACCGTACACTTTCGTGTATCGGTTTTAGTTGCTGTCCTTTGGCTGCCCAGTTGGATGAAGCAGTAGCAGAAATGTTAAATTAGAGTCTAAGGGAAAACGGAGAATTTTATTGGACCGAGGTTGCGAAGAAATTGAGAGACACGAACGCCTCTGTTTGTGATACACTTAGTGTCTCTAACCAACGGCCACCACGATCACGAGCTCCGCATCCAGGCAGCCTAACGTGACCTAGGTTTCCTGGTTAGGGTTTTCATACCATCTTGCCAGCTCTTGTCTGAACTATCCCAGGCTTTTTTCCACCCATTACCGGCCTCGGTAAACATCGCTCACCGAGGCAGCGTTTTTGTTGACATGTGTAACACATGCTCCAACCAACTTAATACTTGAAGATCGACCAGTGGCTCCAGTGAGCGCCCGCGGTTACCTAAAACTCGGTACCTCCACCATTGCTCGTCCAGTTGCTCCACTGAACAAATTGATCTAAGCAGCATTAATGATATGCTTGACCTGATTTCCTTGTTATCAAACGAATAAGACATGTGAACAGAATTTATTTTGCTCATCAATTTAGTGGGGTTTCATTAGGCCTTAGAAGCTATTGTATGTCATAAAGTCAAACAGAGTCGGATAGAAAATCGTGTTTCTGTTGTGAAGTTTGGTGAGTTAGCAAACCCTATATCAAACTTCGATATGTGCTCAGAAAGTGGAATGGTTCAAACTTTCCACCTTGCTTAAGTGACTGTGAGACCCAAGAATTGTTTCCCTTCTTTGGGACATAAAATGTATGAATCTGCGTGACGGTTTGTGAGGTGTTACCTACCGGTTTCCCAGGGTTCTGATGCAAGCCCTGTTCCACTGACCCTCGGACAAAAATTTGCCATCAGTTTAATTTAGTTCAATTTGTGCACCCCTTATCGTCGACCTTTTATGTGCGTCTTTTCGCTCTGTTTTGTCGACTGATCCCGCCGTTGACTAACACAATATATATATATATATATATATATATATATGATGTATGAATGGTGATATCTCTATCGTTGTTTGTTGCTGTTTCGGTAACTTCTTCTTCTTCGATCTCGTTCCAGGTGTTATCCTCTATATTCTCCTAGTTGGCTATCCACCTTTCTGGGATGAAGATCAGAATCGGTTATACAGTCAAATCAAAACAGGCGCTTATGATGTAAGTGGTTTATGCGCTGGACCCCATGATTCCTATCAAACAATGATTCGTACTTCAAATTGTGAACTGTTCCAAACAACTATCACTACCAGACAACACATTGACCTCCCTCTATCCAATCTTCCTTCACATTCATTTTCTACATCCATTCGAAATAAAATAGATACGTTTTCACATTTTGTACATCGTATTAAGGTACTTTTGTTACACGCACTATGCCTTTCGCCAAGTTTTTCACGTGTTTTGCACAATCTACGGGAAGAATTGACCATTCTTTAACGCAGTTTATCATTTTCAATTTGTCACTTTTTGAGAAATCCCACATAAATTCCAGTTTTGTATCTTATGATTGTACTCGCCGTGACCCTTTGTGCTCTCGTATCATGTTCCACGACGGATCATCAATCACAGTAACAGCGTGACTGAACTTCACCATTAGACTGTCGTCTGATTCAGTATTGCTTTTATCTTCTTGCAGCCTTGTGTCTGTCGCTATTACAAGTTTCAGAATATAGGTGATCGACTCCAATAAGCGAATATTGGTCTCGCTTACAATCGATCTCACAATTCATCAAGCTGAATTGTGCAGTTCAAAGAAGAGGCATGGATGAATTAATCAGGTGATCAGCAGTCATTTAGATCAGGACGGTTTGGTACAGACGAATTACCATACCGTACCGATAGACTAGCAAACGTTAATGTGAACAAACGCGTTTCATCGAAAAGGTTCTGTTATCTGTTGTTCGTTACTCACTGTCTAACTATGTCATTGTGTACTGTGTACTGTTGACCATAGAGATTCACTTTGCCTCCCTCCGATTCGGCTCACTCCCTCCGTCTTGTGCTTTATCGCTGGAGCTTGACAGAGATCAGTGCAGTTCACTTCACGTTATCTCGCTGAACGATGCTAGTGACGATGATTTCTATGTATATTGCTGGGATTTTCTCACGTGTGCAGTCATATGCTATTTGATGTTATGGATGCTGGTTGCCAACTCGTTTCTTGTATAGTTCATCGTCAAATGAGTTCCTTTTCAAATGGATCATGTTCATCCCCCCCCCCGTCTCGAAATTGGTGCGAGTACGGAAGAATGATTGAAATTTAGTTCCGGGAGTACGGCTAAACTAATTCCATTTTCGATCAGTCGCTAGTTTCCGTCGAATTCGCTCCGTGGGCAATTAAGAAACGATCAGATTTTCCCACACACTTGTTTCCGCGGGACATTTCGGTATGTTGATGGGGAACTAGTCACATGTTTTCCGTCGCATTATCTGTTTTTTTTGATGTCATTTTTATGGGTTATACAAATTTATTTCAATATAACATTCTCTACTTTATCCGGGGGCTGGTGTTAGCCCACTTTTTCATTTTTTCGTTGGTTTTTACATTTTGCTCTCATTTTCCAGTATCCATCTCCTGAATGGGATACGGTCACTCCGGAAGCGAAGAGTCTGATCAATTCCATGCTCACTGTTGATCCTGGTCGTCGAATCACCGCGGCCGAAGCGCTCAAGCATCCATGGATTTGCGTATGTTGTTGCTCTGTTCTTTATCCTCAAAATTCCGAAGCTTTCTGTGGGTGTCCTCATAGTAGTTACACATGTCTGAAAATGTACTTAGCGAAATACTGAACGGATTTTCCGTTTCCTTGAGATTGAAAATTAAGCACCACTTGTTACGATATGAATGCCACCAACTAAAAATAGCAGTTTCTGTTGCACCAGAAATCATCGTGTACGGCGAATCGCAAGACTAGGACGGGAGTTGATGTGAAAAGGTGTTCCGCAAATTGACTAATTTCATGTCCCAGGGACGATTCAAAAATGGTTGTACCGCACCTTAGGACCAGACACGCAACTGTCGTCGATATGTGAGCACACCGAGAATAGATGAAGCAACCGACTAAGCAGAAGCGAGGACAGTAACGACGTCGATTAACAAAAAGTGACTTTCCAACATTGATTTAATAGCTGCATGTTGTATGCTGATGGGACAGTTGTGATTAGGAGATTTTAGGAGCAGCAGAGCAAAACTCTATCACACAAAAATGCCGCATATTTGGGCTTCAAACAAATAGTGGATGTTCGGCTGTAGAGAAGTGTCGTCTAGTTTGGAATTAGAAACCACTTTTATGCACGACATGAGAAGTGAGAAAAAGAGACGGACAAATGAGAAAAATCTAAAACGAAGTATGTGTCTGTTGCACAGCCAGATAGTCTAGATGCCACATTGATGCAAAATCAGTTGACGCTTGTGAGAGAGCTAGGCATGAAAAAAGAGTCGTTGGACACATCGGATTGAAGACGGTTGTTGAAACGAGTCACTAGAGTCATTCAATACGTTTAAAGTAGGAGCCCAACAGTGATTGACATTCGTCGCCTGATTCTTCCCATCCAAGGTTTTTGCTGCAGATTTTGTAAGGGCGAATTTCTCTCCGTGATGCAAACGGGTCGCTGTATACGGCTTCCGTTCTCGTCCAGTCAAATCTGAGCTTTATGTACTCAATTCGGGTGCATTTTCAGTGCGATACAGGGTATCCTAAGGAGTAAAGAAAACGGATATAAATATTTAAACGAAAAATGTCATCATTTACAGATCACCTCAGATCCCTGTGATAGACAGTCTTTTAGTCTGTCTGTATATTGAGTCCATGATTTAATGAAAGATAGTGCAATTTCAATACTCACTGTTCTGGAAGAAATAATTTGAAATTAAAATATTGTCTAGTAGTGGCTTCAGGAATGAAATAACCGGGACCGGTAAGGGATGATTGATCTTTGTTGAAGGGTGTTAGTGGGTGCTACGTTTCAGAGTGAAAAAGGACGTTACCTTATTTAGGGGCATGTGTTCTGAGCCAGTTATGCCAATGGGCCAATGGGGACTATCTGTCAATCAGGTTACAATATCACCAAAATCGTCTGCAACATGATTATACGACCAGTGAAAAGGCAGTATATTTGTGGGTCTTCAGTGTATGAAAAAGGAAAACTAAATAGGAGTATAATGTCGTCATGAAAAGCACTAGGGGTGATTGAAGGAGACGAAAAACGCTTAAACCATTGCAAGTGAATTCTTTCTGTCTCGTGAATTAGTCCCACAAAATGTGTAACCCAGAATATACATCAGTTACCAAGGCAGCTCATCCGTAGTTTGTTAGGTAGTTCAGTTCCTTATCGATGATCATGGAGTTAGTTGTCCATATAAGGGGGATCGTGGTAGGCAACATCCATGACAAAATCACCATTGCTCGAATTTAACCGTTTTGTTTTTTGGAGCTTGCATTTAAAATGTCATGTATTCATTCTCGTTTGATTGTTCCAAGGAATGCGACTGACTGTAACTCTCTGTCTTTGCCCTTGTCTCTCTGTTTCAACAGCAACGGGAACGCGTGGCTTCAATTATGCACCGCCAAGAGACCGTTGAATGCCTGAAGAAATTCAACGCCCGTCGAAAGCTCAAGGTAATTTTCTTCCCGGGAGTATCGTATATTGAATTAACATATTTTATCAACTAATCTCAATTTCTCCACAAACAAAATTTACTCACACACACATGTAGTGTTTGCAACTACTGGTTAATTTGTAAACTGCTCTAGATGGTTTGAATATCAGTGTAGTGACTGACTGTAGCAATTGGTCGACCTCCATAGATTATGTTGGTTGGGGCATGTGTTACGCATGTCCCCGGATAGGTTACCACGGTGAGCGATGTTTGCCGAGGCAGGTAGTGGGTGGAAAAAAGCCCCGAGTGGTCAAGTTAAGATCTGGCATGGGAATATAAAAACCCTCACCGGGAGTCTGGGTCACATAGGTTCCGTTAAGCTTCCTGGCTGGGCACCTCTGGTTGGTCATACCCGATGGCTAGAGACACTAAGTGATATGACTGGGTGTCGTAAACAGTAGTGTAAGTACTACTTGGAAGGATAGCCTCAGCCAGTTTGAAGATTGCCGAGTTACATTTGGGAAGGTATTGAGGAAGTGTCAGGGTTTGAGCTCACGATTTGTGGTGTGTGTTATTCCGGTTGCATTGTACGATTTCTGTGGAACATCTAAGCAAAGTATGATACAGTCAAATGAGGACTACGAAGGAGTTACTGTCATACACTCACTCACTTGTCCAAACACGATGTGTTGCTTGCGTCGACAGGAGCACGTGACAAATCAGTTAACAAGTAAACATCCTCGACCTACATTTTTACCGAGTTAAGTAATCACTTAAAGTAGAAGGCCGACGTCGGTCGAACTTTGACCTGGCGAGAACGGTCCCATAGGTCTCATTAGGATCCCTGTGTGGTCTCTCAGGTCAGGTCTAATGAATGGTCACATACATTGTTTGTTTTGGTAGGACTGCTGCGTAATCGATTTCGTTTTTTCTCCTGCTCACTGCTACGCACGTTTTGTTTATCGGTATGCTATGTTTCAGCTGTAATACTACTCTTTTCTTATCTTTCTGGTATGCGTTTTCCTCATTGATCGACTAAATGGTTGACCGAAAAACAGCAATACAAATCTGTTCACAACACTGCACAGTTAATGGTTGTATTTGAAACCCTTTGAGTTCGCACCATTGATGACCTCGGGGGTGTTTCCATGTTGACTGTGACACAGGTAGACGAATCATAAATTAATGTGTTACGCGAAAGAGAAGATGCTCTATTCCGACTGATTATTGCGGTTGCAGCTGCATGTTCTGGAACAGAAAAAAGCGGTGTATTTGGGAAAGTGATGTCGTTGGAGTTTTCGTCATTATCTACTTTTCCTCTTTATTCCTGAAGTAAGCGACTATTTATGAACACAGCTGTTTTCATGTAGTACATCAAACATCTGCTACCCGCTTACCTATCATACATCTTAATAAATAGTATGTGAATGACTGGACGAAACTCCTATGGAAGCACACGACCGGTTTCGCAATCCTTGCAACTCGTCAAGTATGCGTATCCGGTAATCTTTTGTCAGTCCATTCATATACTTGTACCCAGGAAGTATATTTTCGACAACCTTATTTGCACCACCGGGTGACGTTTGGATAGACAGCTCTTTCAGAGTCAGTCCATTGAAGAATCAATGCTGTGATTCAATGTTTTTGTAAGTGGGTTAGATGCTACTAACCGCAACCAACTTGGTAGTCTTCATAGAATATTTCATAATAAGTAGTATGTGAATAACTGGACAATACATGTATATAATACTCGGGGCTCGTGCATCCACTCATTATACACCTAACACCATTCTATGTGAATTTCCCATCCTCCGCTTGCTTTCAACACTCCAATCTTCATCCTGCTGTTTTATCCAAATAGGATACCAAAAGACAGCAACCAAAACCGGCGCACGAAAGCGCATGGTTATTGGTTGTAAAAACTGAAGTCTGATATATTTCACATACGTCTGATGCCATATCCTGCGCCAAACAAACTATGGTACAATACTTTTATGAAAAAATACGTTCCATGATTTGCATGTGGGTTGAATACTGCCAGGTTGCCCAGGCCAAGGCTAGTAAAGTTTCTTGAGGAATCCACAACCGGAACTTCGAGTAGCCAAAGCCTGACCCGCACGGCAGCGGAGCGGTGTGTAAAAATCGCAATCCATTGGGGCCGGTGTCCAGTTCATCGGGTCATATGCCTTTTGGACGGGGTCAAACGTCCAAGGTGCTCAGTACACCTTGATGCCCAATTGAGCCGGTGACCGCAACCGGGAAGTTGTGCGTGGTTCGTACGCCTCCTCATGGTTGGTTTGGAATCAGGGTTTTTAGCCAACTCCCCTAGCCCCGGATGTCGGCTTTTCGTCCTCTCACTTTGGTGAGAAAATACCGCCAAGAGAAGGTAGTGAGTAAGGCTTCCTCAGAATAAGCAACTCGAGACGCTTGGTCATATGGAGTGCAAGGGAGGGGTGACCAGTCGAAACCCTAGACACACACTCCCGACCATACTGAGGCTTTCGGAGGCTTATCTGGATATTCCTTGAGTGTCTCCATCCAAGTGTGTATTCAGTTTTTTTAAATCTTAGTTCGTTTTCTCTCTCTTTCGAGAAGTATTCTACGTCTCACATGTTTACTTCGATCCGAATCTTCAATCTGAATCATTGAGACGAACTCGTTACAACTCAGCAATATGTTGCATAACACGTGTGGCAGTGGCTCCCGCACTTCGATTACATGTTTCTTCTGAGCAACTCGGGATTGATTGACTTCAATGTCGAAAACCAGCCCGATTCATGTCAGTCACATTGCTTCCTATCTCGATCGGTGAACTCTGCGCATCGCAGTGGAACCTTTCAACCCTTATGATACCAGTACGTGCACTGCACAATGCGAGTCACGAAACCTTCATTTCGTGTGGTCCTTTTTAATCATGGCACCATTTCACTTTGCAAAGTATTATCCAGTCACAACAAGGGGAGTTCATGTTGATATTGCAACACATCCATGTCCAGAAAGAAAACATCACTTTTATGGTTGTCCACGCTTTGTGCACTTACCGCACCGTTCTCACGGACGTTTGATTTCATCACTTCACAAATTTTCGTTCTCTATTAGTGATTTGAAGATCTATCAGATCTTTTGGCCCGTACAGCTATCGGATCAAAAATACCGCCACTGTTTTTGAATGACGTTTGACTCAACGCACATTTTGTAGTAGTGGTTTGAGATTTTCGGCTTGTTCCAGCTCACCTAAATAATAGTGGTTTGTAACAGACATGTTTGGAAGGTAAAGCTTGCGAGAGAAATCATTTTTTGCACGCAAAGACCACTTACCCGAAATCGCACCAACACTTCCATCTGGGAGAACCCATCAACGCCAACATCCGCATCGCCAGGCTTCAATCATTCCACATTATATCCGATACAAAAGGAGTTATTGTGGATCTGTTTGTCCTCAGACTTGTTTTTTTTGGAATTCTTTATAGGATGTAAATACTGCTATTTGTTGAAGATACCATTTCAACCTGTTTTACGATCTCATACGCTTGTTCAAAATGCATATTTTGCTGTGGGATATTTCGGAATCAAAGAAAAATTTTCTCTCCATTGATCCATAGAACCGTTTATCAGTACTTTTTCTCCGAAACCAAACTATCTTTTGAACCATTGTCAACTTTCTGTTTTACCGTTAGAGTTTTCGACTTTTCCAACAAGAAATAACAAAATAATCAATCAATTACTCGGGCATGTTTAGCTACTTTCACTATTTACCACACCGCATTGTAAATTTCACACTTTGACGCTTATGTTCTAGGCCTTTGCTTTCTCGATACTAATGTTTTTGTGGCTCACTGTACGTTCCACGTAAAATGAAACTCAGATTTTTTCGTCGCGAACATCTGATCAGGTGAACTGTTTGAAAAATCTCTCACTCTGATCGATCACATGGCTGTGCCCACGTCTTTGCACTTCTATTTGTGGTAATGACAATTCTGGAGGGCGAGGAGAATAATGCATTTCTTTCGCAATCAAGTTTGGATGATAACCACGATCCAGAACCGGATCCACCCTTCAACTGACGTCATGGAGTCAACTTTAACTCTGTTCATTTTTGCAATACGCGCAGTGTTCTCCGCACGAATGGCGTCAGTCAGTCAGTCACCGTTTGCAAGTGCACGCGTGTGATTACAACGTTGCATAATAGATGAGTGCTAAGCTCAAGATCACTTTTTCAATTCGGTTCCACTAGAGTTCCTCGAATACTTGCTAGTCGATACTTAATGATTGGGCCTGTTTTGAGAGAGGCGAGAAAAAACAGTAAATACTACAATTGTACGCGGAATTTCATGCAGTGTCAAGAAACGACAATGTGAACGTCACCGCCCAACGCATTAGTCAGAGTCTTCAATCAATCATTTAAAGGGTAATGAAGAAAAAAAAACTGTAGTTTTTGATTTATCACTACAACTCTCCATATATCATCTCTACGTCATCCGTAAACGACCGCATAATTTTCGGCCCTCTGACTTGACAGGCACAAA